CACACCCCCGCCCCCTTTCCCCGGCCGTGCGTTTCCAGTGAAGTGAAGTCAGTGTAGTCGACTGTCAAATAGAGAAGGCCGGAGATGTTGTGAAGGTTATGCTGAAGTGTGCTGAAGGTTCATCACAAGGTAAGTTATAATGTGACTTTGACAACGTTACACCAGCCATGATTGGTTGTGATCATGTGAGCGCAATTCGCAGAAAAAAGGAGTCTGGAGAAGGGGGGTAGCGGTGATTGGCATGTAGGCGATGCCCGATCGGTCGTCACGAAGCGTGTGTTATGTAAATAAGTCTGAGTCACCCAGACTCATCGCTTTCGGCATGCGCATTAAGTCATTTTAGCGTGCCAGAGGAACGGCGCGGGAGACGTCATCCTCCAGTTCAAAGAGGGAAAAACTACGTTTTCTTTTTTCGTAGGTATATTTTTGGGGGCCCGGACTGTGTGTTGTGTGTGTGTGTGTGTGTGTGTTGTGGACTCATTGAGTGCGTACCGCTCACCGTCTACCCCAAGTCCAACCCCTAGTCGTGATATCGATACATCAGTTTATCATAAATGCGTCTTTGCCCCATTTCAAAATAATTTGTTACGGAAATCTTCATTTTTTTGCTGTCGATATCGGTCCATTATCCGTTTGTTATCACCATTTCTCGTTTATTGGGTGGTGTTGGGCAAGTGTTATGTGATGAAGGTTCATGAGCGGCCCGGTTGGCTCACCATCTGCAATGAATTGAACGTTTTCAACGAATAAGCGCACCCCCCTCACCCCCATTTTCGCCTTCCCGTGAGATCTCAAACTACCAGCTCTCCAGATACGCGCTTGTCGTTTAAAACTGTTACGCCTACCCCTGAGAACGGCCTCACTACTCGTTAGCGTATGAGGGGGAAGGGGGGGGGGATTAGTCACGTGAGAGGTGAGGAGGGGGTGGCGGGTGGCGGTGGATGGCGTTCGCGAGACAAGTATCGCGCCCGGCCGCGCGTGACGTCTGATCTATCAAATCAATGAGAGAGCTCGGCCGAACAACAACGCAACACCGATACACCCAGTTTCACCTTGTCGAGGCGAGCGGGGACGCGGCGGCGGGGCGGGGCGGGGCCCGGTGCGGGTGCGGTGCGGCGGCACCTGCCTGTGTGCCTGGGCACTTGCCACTGCTGCTGCCGTTGCGGCGGAGGGTTTCAAGGGTGAGAATCGCATCTCACTGATTGACAACGACAACGGGAATGCAATGGCCAGTCAGGCGCACGGCAGCCTTAGCGGTGGGGCACTTTATTACCGGAGCGAGCCGCTCAGCCAGGGCTGCGTGCGAAAGCAGCCGGCCAGGCCCTCTGCGCGGGCGCGGGCGCACCGCCACGCACCGCGCAGGCCGGGCCGCCTCCGAATGAATGGATGGTTAGACGACGGTTAGGCCACCCGATGGACAGCCGCGTGCGGCGGGGCGGGCGGGGCGGGGCGCCCTGAAGGCCGGACCGGGCTCACGCTGTCACTGGACCACATTTCTCACGCCCCTTCCCCCCTCCCTTCACTCGCCCCCTATCTGTAAGCGGAAGGAGAAATGCGCATGTAAGACTAGTTGGAATAGAGTGGAACCCGTCCTTCAATATTCATGACTCGAATACAAATGCCCACGCGGTCGCGCCGTTGTGCTGCGGGCCATCTCACCCCTTTACGTACCCTCCCTCAGCCCCCCCCCCCCCAAGAAGAGCAGGATAGTCACAGGAACATCGAAATGACGTCATTTGGCATTCCACATTTCGTCACTATTTTGGCTTGAGGGACGTCATTTGAGACACGCCATTGACATCAAAATGACTTTAAAGTGACCAACCTGTTCTCCTTGGGCCGTCCCTTTTCCCCCAATCTTCGTGCGCATTCCCGCCAATTCACGACGATTTTTTTTGGCCCATTGTCTGGATAACGTTGTATCTACTGCTCACTAATAACTCATTGCATTCATTTTGCCACTCTAGTCGGGTGCGTTTGTCGTCGGTGAGGACGGGTGCTGCCAGAGGTGTTGCCTACGCTCCCGGCGGACAAGGGAGTGGACAGCAGCAGTCGGTGCACTTGGGTAAGTAAAATGTACCCGGGCGTGTCCAATCTCGTCGGCTCCTCTTTTAATACGTTCCGCTGCGGCTCGGTTTTTGGTCCCTATGATTTTACATGAGAGCGTGACCACATAGTGGTCATGTCGCAGGGACCGTGTAAACCTTGCGACCCGGGGGGTATTTCAAAAAGATCAGTGTACAGTACAACAGCGTAAAAAAATTTACGAAAAATCAAAGACAAAACAACTGATTAAAAAATCGGGAAAAATAAAAATGAATCGCAAATGTCGAGAAAAATCGAGATGAAATAGAAAAATTGGTGTACGCTTTGAATTTATAGTGAAGTACCCCTCGTTGCGACCCGCAATTCACCAGTCGTTGCCGGAGCCGGAAACGCTGGGTCCCCGTCTCCTGCCTCCTCCCCTTCTCGGCGGCCTGCTGGCTGCAATCTCGTGTTATGGGGGCCCCACCCGCCCGGCGCAGCCCGGCGCAGCACGCGGGACGGTGACGGTTTATCTCCGTCTGTTTTGACTGATTGACCGAATGTGCCACGGCCGGAGCCCTCATCTCCATACCGCACCTGTTAGTCCAGTCATTCTAGTCAGAAAAGCGTGCTATTGTGGAACAAAAATATGTATCTCTGGATTTTGGATATGTTGTACAGTTTGATGTGCTGAATCGAATGCAAAAAAATCCACCGTTCCAGACCCTGTGCGTTAACCGGAAATTGAACAAAAGGGCCTAAATGCAGGGCTTTGCGGGATTCGCCGTAGCTCCGAAACCGTCTGCGCGATTTTGACGAGACTAGTGTTAAAATGTCCGGAATGGACCAAGGAACAAATCCATTACAAGGCAT